ACCACTTCCTCATTATATGTATACCACTTCTAGTTGAAGAGGTTTATTTGTAGTTTTTTTTACATGTGCGTTTTGAAGGGTTTTGAGCGTTCTTTAAGATATTGAGAACTGAAGCTTTCTTGGGCCAAAGGTGGAAACCGCAAAAATGTGCACATATTGAACCATGGCAAACCACACCAACATGGGTTGGCTCCATGCTTTTTGTTGAGTGATGCTAGCGCTTTTCGTTTCGCACTTGTTGAAATAAATGCTTTGTTGCTTCAGGAAGCTTCAGGAATATATATATATATATGATTTAGCCAGTAATCTAGACTGTTGATCAGTTATGTACCCCCCCGGCAACTCCAGGGGCCCGGTGTCGCATCTCCCGGGTTGGGGTTGGACTTCGAACAGAGAAGTCATGCGGCGGCGCGTAGTACGGCGGGTAGTACGGTTTTTTGGGACTCCGGTAGTACAGTTTTGTTGAGGATATCTTTGAGAGGATGTCAACAGGTATTGTAGGTAAGGTATCGTTGCAACAGGTAGTACAGTTTTGTTGAGGATGTCTTTCTTGAGATACCTTTACAATATACTGATACTTGTGTACCGTGTGTTGATGTGTCAACAAATCTGATTCCAAAAAGGCTATGACAGTTGTAATGAACATCATGAATCGAAGCGGATACCCAAACATCCGCAGTGCGAATCCTAGTCTTTCCTCTGAAGAACAAAAGGTTGACCTTTTTCCGCCCCTTTGCTTTGAGTGGGGAAACAAATCCCTCAAAAAGTTCCAGTCCCTATAGGGCTCGAACCACATCCTCAAACAGGAGATACTTGGAGCCCTCATGAGTAAAGAGTAAAGGTTTTGCACTTTTCCGGGATACGATGTCCCAAATGGCCACAGCTCCATCACCTGGTGCTCGTCCATGTTTTTGTCTGTTTCCAAAGCTGCTTCTCAGTGATGGAAGCGATATGAAGTCGGGCAAATCTGCAACAGAAACCTCTTTGGACATTTGAATACGTACTTGTTGGAAAATACCCAAAGCCTTGCCTCTACCACTTGGATTATAACACGTTCAACCCTACCGCGCTTTGGCGTGCCTCGTATCCAAGCCATTTGAGAACCCGTGCGGCAAGTCCAGGAGTGATCTCCTGCAAGCTGCTGCAAGCTAGGAGGCTAAGCCTCTCAAGGGATCCGTTATCAGGATGCCAGGCACACCGAGTGGGAAACCATCTTGTGTCTTTCTGCTCTACTTTGGTTCGTCAGAACTTGCTGGCCCTGAAGACTGGCATGAGAGTGCGTACTCACCTCCAAAACAATCAGCCTCCTCGTTCTTTCCAGGAAACGCAAACGCAAACAACTGCCAAAACACAGTTTGTTAACACAGACTTGTGATCACGCGGAGAAGAACATATCACAAACATAGTTTCAATACTGCTATGAACAAACAACTCCTGGTTATTTTCACAACTGTTCACCAACTCCACCCAGATCTCCTCAACATGCCAAGGATTCGCTGCTCGCTTGTGACCAGATACTGCCTGGAGAGCAAAACCATGCAAAAATAAAGAAACGTGTCTTTTCATGCGATGTCTCGGGAGTAACCACATATGATATGCACGTGTCTTTTCTCACACCTTGGGACTCTGAGATGATGAAAAACCCAAGTCCCACACCTACTCATCCAGCGGACGTTCAACTGACCTCCCAACTGCTCTCGGTCGGACGTGAACGACCTGCGCGCACGAAGCGCGCGACGGCGACCCGACGGACGTGAGGACCACCAGAGGTCTGCCGAACAGACCTGTTCTGGTCGCTCCAAGCGCTCCGGTGGAACAACAACACGTACTGAGACCGCCTGATCACCACTCAACGAACTGAAACACGATATATGATGATATATATATGTGGAATCAATGTCTGACCATGGGTCAACAAACAGGCATCATTGATCTGAATATGACGTCTACAAATTCAGCTCTTCCTACAGCTTTAGGCACACAAACTAATCTACATAATCCACAGATCTTTGCTGTCTATCTGAAAGCCTCAGAGGGGCCCGGAGGACGATCACACATGATCACATATTCTTTTCATCTAGTACAAAACGCATCTAGGCCCGGTTTTCCAACTCCTTCGCCATGAATTCATTCTGTGAATTCCATGGACTCCCCTGAGTGAAACACCCTCCCTCCTCGTAGAAGTTCAGCCGCAATGCGCCCAGTGGTCGCCCGGTCGGCAAGAAGGGCAAGGCCTCAAAGGCACCCAGACTCCACGGGTACAGCCGTAGCGAGTCCTCTGCGGAACGGACGGCGGACGGCGCCTTGGACGGCGTTGGGTCAAGTGGAGGGCAGGCGCGAAGAGAAATACCCCAAGTCTTGAGGACAAATGATCGCCTATGAGGGAGACCAATCATGTTGTGTTCAACCATACCTGGCCACGCCTCTACTGGAGAAAAATTGAGAAACACGTACGTGTGTTGACTAGATGCCATTTACATATATACCATATAATACCAACTATAAATTACATCTGCATGGTGAAAATCGACCTGAGGGTTTAGTGGGATCCATGAGTTTGATGTTCCTGAAACAATGGTCGTCACATGCCCTGCGTTCCCAGGGACGTCCGGCAAAAGGTCCATGCCATCAGGTTCCATGCGGGTCTCTTCCCATTTGTATCCTGTCGACCCCCTTTCTTGGACTCTGACGAAGCTTCGGAACGATGTTTTTTCAAAGGGATCGGAGACCCCCTCCAGTCGTCCGGGACCTTTTGTGGAATCCTCCGGTCACTAGAAGGGACCTTTCTTTTGCGGAGTGGATGACAGGGGCAATGTCTAAACTTTCAAGCAGAAGTGCTCAAGGTGATTCTTTGATTCAAACAGCAGCGACAAGTGAAAAAAAAAAAAAACAACCTGCCTTGGATTGGTTGGTGTTGCAGCCTTTGAAGCGAACAAACCCATGAAATCTGTTGTCGGTGTTGTCCTTGAGTTCGTTCACGTGGAAGAAAAGCGCCAGTGACTTGGTTGTGGGAAATGGCGCATCCATCTCGGTGAGGTAGCCCAAGCGTTTCAGTCCTCATGTTCAACCAGAACTCAAAGATAAATTTGTACCAGCGCCCCCTCAGGGGTGGTTAATGGACATCCCTTCACCTTTAAGGGGTTATTGTTAGGTATTGCGGTTCTGTTCAGATTTGGTAGATTGGGATTTGTTCCAGACTGTTTTTTTGCGCTCGCTTTGGCGACAAGAAAAACGTGCATCAGCCAACTGGGATCGACTGCATGAAGTTCGACGGTCCTCAGTCACATTGGACCATGTCCAGTCCCACTCCATGGGACTGCCATATGGACTGCCATATATATGCCTACAAAATGGGGTGGTTGGTTTCAGGGGTCAGTGTAGACATATATACCGGGATTGGACCCAACAGTGCCATCCTCCAGTGCCGCTTCGATCGACAGTGCCGCTTCTTGGTTCGTCGTCCCCCCC